AAAAAAGAAAATCTCTACCCAAGATAGCTTCACTGAATTCTACCAAACATTTATCAACATAAATAAATAAACAAAATTCTACACGAAGTGTTCCAAAAAAGTCTGAAACACCTTATCTCATTCTATGAGGCCAGCATTATCCTGAGAGCAAAACCAAAGATGTAACAGAACTATAGATCAATAGCTCTCAGGCAGATCCAAAAATATGTAACAAAATATTGCCAAGTCAACAATAAGTTGAAACAATAAGATATCATGACAAGTATGGCTTATTATTCTAGAAACATAAGTTGATTCAATATTTGAAATGAAACTCACCATATGAAGAGATTGAAAAAAACCGTATCATCTCAAAAGATGCAGAATAAGCATTTGACAAGATTTGTCATCATTTATGGAACTCCAAGCATTCCGGAAATGTAAGAAAAAAGTGCCTCAACTGGATAAAAGGCATCTACAAAAACCCTACAGCGAACATCATACTTAATGTAAAAGACTGAATGTTCAGCTGGGCATGGCAGCTTTTGCCTATAATCCCAGCACTTTGGGAGGCAGAGGTGGGTGGGTCACTTGAGGTCAGGAGTTTGAGAACAGCCTGGGCAACATGGTGAAATCCTCTCTCTTAAAAAAAAAAAAAAAAAAAAGACTGAATGTGTTTCTCCTAAGACAAGGAACAAACTAAGGATGTCCACTCTCATCACTTCCATTCTACACTGTACTGGAAATCCTAGCCACTGTAATAGGTCAAGAAAGAGAAATAAAAAGTACATAAATTACAAAAGAAATAAAATTGTCTTTATTTGAAGATGATAACATTATCAATGTAGAAAAGGAATCTACAAAATAGCTATCAGAATAAGTGGGTTTAAGCAAAGTTGTAGGATACAAGGCCAATTTATAAAAATGAACTGTATTTCTAAATACTAGCAATGAACTGAAAATTGAAATTTAAAAAGTACCATTTATAGTGGCATCAAAACCTGTAAAATCCTCAGGGATAAATCTAACAGAATGCATGCAAAATGTATACAATAAAAAATAACTAACACATCACATACACGCACACACTGAAGGAAGGCACCCGAGGTACCTGAAGTCTCCAGCTGAGGAAGACTAAGTTACGGTCACGGAATTCTGCAGCTACATTATGGGGTCTTTGTAATGGCTCTCAACTAACACCATGTTGGTCTTGAAACTCTGGCTTCCAGTATCATTTGTTATTTGGTCCAAGCTAGAAGCAATAACTCAAAGTCTAACAAAGAATGTTTAAATTCTACTAGAAAAAAAATGCTTCACCACTTTCTCTAAAAAGAAAGAAATATGCCAAACATTTTTGGGTAATCATCAAGCTATCTAACAGTATCACCATGCTTGTTTCACTCTTCTAAACCTTACCCTTACAGGCCTGATATTTATTTATTTATTTATTTAGAGACAGGGTCTTGCTCTGTCACCCAGGCTGGAGTGCAGTGGCATGATCTCGGCTTACTGCAACTTACTCCAATTTCCGGGCTCAAACGATTTTCCAGCCTAAGCCCCCCAAACATCTGGGACTACAGTCTCAAGCCACCGAAACCTGGCTAATTGTTATATTCTTTGTAGAGACAGGGTTTTCCCATGTTGCCCAGGCTGGTCTTGAACTCCTGGGCTGAAAGTGATCCACCTGCCTTGGCCTCCCAAAGTGCTGGGATTACAGGCGTGAGCCACCCACCACACCTGGCCCAGGCCTGATACGTGTAGCATGGATATCTGGTATTATTTTCTTGCTTGCTGATTATGTATTCTTAAATGGGGAAATTAAACAAAGGAAATGTCTAAATAGAAAACTGCATGGAAGCAGAACCCTACTTATTTCTGTTTCCTCATTTTATGCTCTGCTCAGACTCCTGAAGTGGCCTTTAACATAAACTCCCAGAAGGATCAGGCTCCATCCCAGGGAGACCCACCTCTTCTCCTGGGCTGCGTTAGCAGCCTTCTGGAAAAAAAAAAACATACCAGGTGATCTCAGTCAAGAGAACACGAACTAGAACTAGAAGAGACACCCACTGCACAGTGTTTATTCCCATCACTGAAACAGTCACAAGTACAACCCAGTTTTATGAACTCCATAAAATGGGAGCTCCATGATGGGGGGACCACGGGTGTCCTGCTCACAGATGTTTCACGCAGCCAGCACTCTTACTATTTGTCAAATGAGGTATACATGGTTTTGAGCACGCCTTGATGCTTTCCTCCTGAGTGTCTAGGGGCAGCTCAAAGTTCTCCCCGGTTTAAGAGCTGGCCACTGTGGACTGCCCTTGGCAGCGGTGGCAGTCCCATCTGGAAGACAGGAAGGAGGAAGGAGGGAAAAGTGATGCGAGCTTCCACTAGACTGCATGTCGGCTAGTGCTGGAGTCATCACCACACCTCAGTCTTGTTTGTATTTTCACTGCAAAGAGCAAGCTCAAGCTTATTTAATTTACACTTCATGTCTCTGACTCAGGCAATTTCATACTGAAGTATTAACCAAGTTCTGCTACTTGGTGGAAAATATACTGAAATTTAAGTAATTATGAAATGTACCCTATATAATTCATTTATGGTCATTATTGGTCCTGTAAAGAGATATCTAACAAGTTAAACAGTGAGGTTATTTATCTGGAGGAGAGGCACAGAATGCTTAAATCAAGAGAGAAAAAAGCCCACAGAGTCACATTATAGCTACTCTATTTGGTTAAAAAAAATAAAAAATAAATAAAGGTGTGGGGACAGTCTAATGGGCTAGATTTTAGGAGCACCAAGAATAGGAAACAGCTGCTTCAATCATCACCTCGTAATCAGGAAAATTATGACTTAAAATCTTTTTGATTCTTTTCAGATATGAAATGATTCTTCTGAAGCCCTCGAATACAGTCCATTCGGGAAAGCCTCTACAACTGCCTGTCCGTGCCTCATGGCTGCGATGTGCCACTGAGACACACACCCCGACCACAGAAGGCCACGGAGACACACACCCCGACCACAGAAGGCCACGGAGACACACACCCCGACCACAGAAGGCCACCGAGACACACACCCCGACCACAGAAGGCCACCGAGACACACACCCCG